TCTGTAAAGGGGTCCTATTGCGTGCTGTAATATCACCCACACCATTACGCTACCGCCTCCAAATTGTCGACGCTGCACTACACAAACATCCGAGTAACGCTCCCCATCCCCGCGATAAACCCTCCGGCGACTGTCACTGCTCACAGTCCAAATGAAATCTTGATTCATCTGTGAACAAAACATTGGCCCAGCATTGAAATCGGTACCTCAGATGTCTCCGACACCAAGCTGATTCCAATTCTTATTGACACTTTTATGCAAAATATACCTTTCGTATTATATCATATACCCTTTTCCAGGAAAGGTATATGATAAGTTGAATTTATGCAGACTACAGAATATAATGCTTGGATGCCAGAGCTGCCAAGCGTGGGAGCTCGCTCTGGCACAAAAATAGAGAACGATTTTTAAATTTTTTTCAATACCTTTTGAATGATTTCATTTTTCCATTATTTTTATGCCCCCGGATCGAAAGATCTCGGGGGTATATTGTTTTTGTCCTGTCTGTCTGATTGTCTGTTTATCTGTTTGTCTGTCTGTCTGTTTTCAACTTTAACCTTGCCCATAACTTTTGATTGGTTGGAGCTAAGACTTTCATATTTCACATGTCTATTCCTTGTGACAAGACCTTTCTCTGGGTATCATCATATTTGACCTTTTGACCTTGACCTTAGAGTTTGACCCACTTTTGCAAAATTTTATGAGACTTTAACCTTGGCCATAACTTCTGAACAGTTGGTGCTTGGGGGTTCAAACTTCACATGTGTATTCCTTATGACAACCTCTTTGACCTAGGAGTTTGACCTACTTTTGAAAAACTTTAACCTTGGCCATAACTTTTGAATGGTTGATGCTAGGGCTTTCATACTTCACATATGTAATCCTTGTGACAAGACCTTCCTTTGGATACCAACCACTTTGACCCTTTGACCTTGACATAGGAGTTTGACCTACTTTCAAAAAACTTTAACCTTGGCCATAACTTTCGAATGGTTGGTGCTAGGGCTTTCATACTTCACATATGTAATCCTTGTTACAAGACCTTCCTTTAGATACCAACGTTTTACTTACTTTTAGAAAACTTTAAACTCTGCCATAACTTTTGAACAGTTGCAGTTAGGGCTTTCAAATTTCACAGGTATACTCCTCGAGACAAGACCTTTCTCTGGGTACCAACATTTTTTATCTTTTGGCCTGTATTTTGACCTGCACTTGAGAAACTTTAACCTTCGCCATAAGCTGCCATACGAGGGCATCAGTGTTTCACAAACACATCTTGTTTAAACTTTTAACGGTGATTTCTTAATAGCCTGTTCGAAATCATATGAGGTCATTTTATAATAAAAAAAAAAAGTGCATCTAATCAGTTATTGCTTTCATCAATTGAATTGATAAAAAAAAAAAAAAAGAACAGAGCCATTCTCTTTAACCTGTTTTGGTGCGCATGAAAAAGGACTTTCTTGAAACTTCATGCATAAGTTTGACTTAATCCTTCATACTTAAGCCAGTGATAATTGGCTTCTTTTAGATTCCTGTTTCCATGTCAATTATTAAGCCTAAAGCTAAAAAAAGATATTGAAATCTTTTAAAGCCATTATTTGATTCCTTGTCAATTTGCAGGGACAAAAACTGTAAATGACTGATATGTAAGAATGACCTGTCATTGTATTAGATAACAAAAAGAAACTATGAGGAAACTACGTGACATATCTTAGTAACTTTAGTTACATTTAAATGAAATTTTGAAAATCAGAAAAACTATACAAGTTTTCTTTTTTGTTTAATGCTTTTAATCGAAATATAAGTGGACCAAATTACATGAAACATTTAAAGATCCTGAAAAGGAATCAACACATTATTTGCTGTAAATGCAGGTATCTAGGTTGTGATGGTAACAAGGTTTATGTAATGATTTTGCCTTAAAAAGCAATTAAGAATTATCTCTAAAATTCTAAAATCCTAAAGATATCAGAATCTATTTATTTGATATAATCAGACATGTATATATAAAGCTATGTAACAAAGATTGTTTATTAAGCGTAAATTTAAAAAAAAATATTTAGATTTTAAAAACAACATAAAGAAGAAGCTCTGATGAAATTTGAAAATAACGAACAGTATTCAAGCTCAAAAGTCTATTTAAACAATACAAACTATGAGCAGACCCAACACATCTAAAAATATCAGAGGTGGGGTCATGTGCCATGGAGGAGTAAGCATCCCCTGTTGACAGGTCACAGCCGTCGTGTGCTTCTTGTCATGATTGGGTAAACGGAAAAATCCTTAGAAAATTCAGTGCGAAAATAATGGCCTTATTTATAGGAAAAATTCCAGTCAGTATTCTACTTCACGATATAAAAGAGATAAATAAAAATTAATGTAATCAGATCTACAATAATTATGATGCACTTTTTCATCTTATTTTCATTTCAAAATTCTATTCATTTGTGTCCTTTCTATGTCTTTTACCATATTTAATTAGAAACCAATATGTAACTTTTATGAAACAATATCTTTTTTTTAGATCATGATTCATTTATTGATTGACTGCTAAATAGGACCAACATATCCTTTTTTTTAAAGGTTAAATTTCCCGAGTAACAATGTCATTGCAATGATTACTAGAATATCATTTTACATTTTAAAAAAATATAGAATATTACCCCCTGGAAGATATTTTCCTCATAGATTCGATGTAATTCGCTGTCGCATTTACATTTTCTAATCATTTTTTCTTAAATGACGCCATATGAAAGCTTCTATAATTTATTTTTTGAATTTTAATCTTCAATCATCCTGTTCATGTGTGTATACGAGTACCCATTTAAAAAACGAGACTGAGAATTTTCAGCCTAGACTGTGTATAATTAATTTAGAATCTATATTTGATTTGATGGCTCAGTAGCACTAAAAACACGTATGTCGAACCTGTATAGTTCACCACCAATAGTGATTTTAGTCTCCAAGGTAGACGCGGAGGTGTATGGTAAAAGGTATTTGTAAACTTGGAATTTATTAATTTTTCTATAATTTTTTTTTAAAACTATATCAAGAGCGTTACATGCATATAGTTTTAAGAGACCTCAATTTCTTTATATATGACACTGCTTTAAGACATTGACACACCTTTCAGGTCACATAGCATCAATATATAGTCTAAGTTAAGTGTTCTAAAGTTATGGCACGGATACGACTTTCACATTTCATTGCTTTATGACTTGGATCTCTGATCATGAGTTTGCCCTTTATTTAATTTTACGACAAACTTCGACATAGGCAACGAAACATAAATGTTTGACTTCATTCAATCAAGTGTTCTGAAGTTAGGATACAGACAGGATTTATTGTGAAAGAAACGACACAAAAACATCAATGGAAGAATTGAATGTACAATCTGAAGAAACGGACAGTGATCAATCTCATACATCAAGTAAACAAAACAAATCGTGAACAGGACAAAACACGGACCCCTGGAAATACCTGAGGTGCGATCAGGTGCCTAGGAGGAGTAAGCATCTCCTGAGGAACGGTGACACCCTATGAGCCCTATGTACTGATCAAGTAGACTGATTACTCCGTAATCAAATTTAGTATAAAAGCAATGCCCTAACAAATGGTTTGAAACACAGCAAACAAAACACGACCCAACGATAGATTGTATTTAAAAACAATATCCTTACAACAACCGGAGAATTTGCGAAAAGCTGACCATAATTAAACAGAATTGTTGAAAACCTTGTTACGTCAACTTTTTTTGTCAGTAGCTCGCTTTGATTTAAAAATTGATCGTATTCAGAGCATGTCCTTGCGTATCGAATCAATTGCGAGACATAAGCCCCATACACAGGTGATGCTGGAATACTTCTATATAAATAAGGGAAGTTTGACGATGGAAAAGCTGAAGTCATCCCTTTTTTCATACAATTTAGTTATTGAAATGGATGTGGCAGTCTGTCTTTTATTTCGAGTTCACTTTGATATATTCAGTTGGAATATAAATTAAAGTAACTATTGTTAATTGATAAAACGTAGTCGATATATTAAGTGTTGATTGAAGGCCAAAGCAAGAGTTTTCTTCTCCTAAAGAAGTTAATGAATAACGCCTGCTTCATAGGAATATAAAAACAGGTCGGTTAATAAAGGGGTACAATCGGAATTCCAGCAGTTTGTTGGGAGACCTAATCTTCAAAGATTACATAAATGTTGACAATGAGGAACTGCAGCATGCTTTTAATATCAATCTCAGAGTATTTGTACCTAGAATCAGAATGATTTTAATAAAGAAATTTTGTTGATGACCAAGTTCCATTTTTATTGAATAAGCCGTTGTCTGTGATAGCAAAAAACCTAGTTTTAATTTATCGTGATGAATGGTTGTATAAATCGTATAGAAATTATATTTTTGGTGCTATTGATGTTTGAAAAGTTTTGCGATTTGAGATCTTTAATATTTAGTACACAAAGTTCGCTCAGTGTATTTAACAAGAGAAAATAAAGAAAAATAATGGTGTCGTTTCGAAATCTTCTTAAGAATCAGGAAATTGCAAACATTCCCTGTTGAGCATATGGTGAGGAACGACAACGTACATTTTGTTCACCTTGTGCATTTATTTCTGGTGATTTTCAGAAATCATTCCTAGGAACTGGACAAAAAACCTTGCATTTCAACCGCAATGAACGTGCTTTGTTCCAGATTCTTTTACAGGTATGTCAATGTACAAATGCAAATCATAGTAGCCTAACTTTGAATTCATGAATGTGATGTAATGGCTTGCAATTTAATATAAAACTGTAAATTTTGTGATCCTAGGCCTACAAACATCCTTCTAAACTAACCAGAATACCATGAGAAAATACATACCTGAAAAATTGAATTGTCCTTCTTATGACATTCTAGAGTTAATTATGCAGAAAAATAACTAAGAAAACAGTCAAGCAATGAGATTTAATAAATAATTTACAACCAAAATAGAATATTTCACATTGGCTTAAAAAAACTTCTAAATAGAGTGGGATCTGTTGAGTCTGTTGATAGGTTTATTTGGAGTTGAAGAAGTGAGCGTCGTTGATTTCGTTTTACTGTAAGACAATTTATATTTCTGCATCCTTCTAGAAATTCCTTTAATAACTTTAGGATGCTTCAAAGTCATTACCAACACATAAACACCTTGACAACCGTTAATGATATTGTGCATAACCTGTAACCATAGGAACGGGAATGCTATAATAATAAAAGCCAAAATCCAAGTGACACCAAGTAAGAGTGATATCTGTAGGTAAACTGTGCATCTTGCGGCGTCTTTTGTATTTTTCTTAACATTTAAAGATTGTTTTTTAACATATTCTATTCCAAACATGGATATTCCAATGCATACAAAATTGAAGATGAGACAAATTACGATAGGAGTTGTAGTGCTGATGTACACAGCTATTTTGTTGGTGATCCAGCAATGTCCTCTTGAACCATATCCAAAGTTCACCGACTCTTCAAACTGGTCAAGAAGAACACACACCAAAACGACTGCCAATGGTAGAAGCCATCCAAAAAGAGAATACTTTCTGAACAATTTCTTACTGTCTGTGGATCTAAGATAAGATATCCTGCAAATGCTGAATGTGTAAGCAAGGTCAAACGCCATCACGCTTGTCCACGTAAAAACAGTCAACCATAAATACTGCAGGAGGACGGCGTTAGCCTTACAAAAGTTTGTTGTCAAGTGAGGAACCAAAGAAGCACCTTGAGCAAAGAAAAGTGCCGCTGAGAAGGACATCATGCATTTGTCGTGTGTGGAGCGATACGTCTTTGTACAGATGTGAATGATAAAGGCAATGATGAGGCACGTGACAGAAATAGTGAACGTCACGATCGTTGTCAGTACCCGGATGTCATTGATGTCAATCCATGCCTCCTTTTCGCACACAAAAATCCCAGAATTGTTAAGAACATACTCGTTCTCTTGATATATTTTATTTTTTCCAAGAATCGAGATAGAACTGTTCATGTCCATATATGTTCCATTTCTGTAGAAGGATAGGGATGCTGAGCAATTTAATTTGGACTTCACCGTAGCAGAGAGATCAGTGTCTCCAAGAATGCTGGCGTTCTTCACAAACGGAAATTTATTCCGGTTCCAAAGCATCCTGTGTGTTTCATTCGTTTAGCCTGAAAATGAAAACATAATTGTTTAATATTTGACAGTGTTAAGTAATCTACGACGCAGAATCTTTGGATAAAAAAATGGTTCGATCATTTCATTCGTCTTAATTATACTCCCCTTGGAACATTATTCATATACATGTATAGCAGGAATATAGGTAAGTTTCTTGCTTGGAATACGGCATTTATCTCCTGTCCATTGTTCAATTTGTAGGTCAGAGTCATAAATCTCTGGTCGGACAGATTAGTCATGATGAACAGCAGGTGTGATCATTCTGAACATTATAACAATGTATAGCAAGTGTTCATTTCATTACTGAAGAATCTTAAGCTAATCGCCCACATAAACAATCAATTTTTATAAAGAATAAAATTTAAATATCTTCAATGTCACAATATATCTTTTTTATATATATAAAACATGCCATTTGAGTTCTTGAGAAAATAGTCGGTATTTTTACACAAAGTACTAAGAATAAGAAATTTATTTTAAAAAAAACTGTTTTGTCAGCACCTACAATTTTCTCGTAACGCGTTTTGTGGCGCGAGTAATGTTAAGGACGACTTAATACGAAAAGTAAAGATGGCTGCGCCTAGGAGCTTAGTGGATTGACTTTGGTTACATAAATAAACTTTACTTAGAGATAAAATGTTTCCTGTGACACGAAGTGCTGCTGTGAGAAACGTATGCAATGTACAAAAGTTTCTGAATATACCATCGTTACTGAGACATCAGGTAAGGGTAAGACTAAAACACTAAAACTTTAACACAATGACGCTTGCTCCCGTTGTCTAGTGTTAAAAAATTGTTTATTGATAAAAGTCCTTATACTCTAGTTCCTAAAAGTTTATTTTAAAAATCAAATATTGATTTACCATGAACAATCCCCGTTGGTGAAACTTAAAGGCCTAAACGATGAATAAATGATGTTGATACATGACGTGCATGTCATTTATGAACTGATGAATACTAATTCAGATATGTTAACAATTTTTTGCAGACTTTTCTACACAACAAAGCATTTAGATCTGAATTACAATCGCAAAAGAGGCTCATTCATAATTTTTTGAATGAGCAGAGGCGGTTTCAGTCATCAAAGCAAGGAAACCAAGACAAAAGTGAGAAGACGGTATGTGAGGAGTGTTGCATCACATTATAATCGTCTATATAATAAATGTATTTTTTTTACTGCCTAATTATAGTAAACTTGCTAAAAGACATTTTGAGTTTGGAAGATATATCTATGAGCATAGCTAATATTTTATTATTTAATTAATAAATTGTTAAGAATTTAACAAAAAAGCAGTTTCATCAGGGGAATACTGATTTCTATGAATATGGATTACACTATGGATACTTTTTCATGTAGATTTTTATGTGCATGATCTGTATGATTTATTCACATGTGTTTTCCATTACACTGTCTTGTAGCCAATATCATGGAGGATTTCTGTTATCTTTGCTATTGTTGGAGGTCTCTATGCCATACATTTGTATAACACAATGAAAAATCAAGAACTAAGTAAGTAAGCTTTGTGCCATCATCAAAGAATTTGTTTTCTTTTACTTGCATATATTTCACTTTCCAAAAATATTTTTAAGTGATTTCCTTCGGTTTTTCAAGACTGAGCACTCTCAAATGTTTGAGCCAAATCACATTCAGGTATACTAGTATTTGGAAGTTTATTTAGAAAGTATAACTTGCTCTGTTATTTAATTTTCACAAAATGTACAAACAAGTGTGCCACACAACAGGAATATTTGCAAATGGGTGGTTTTTAACTTAAGATTGAAGTTTTCTCCTGTAGTTAATGTAATGCATGTTTTATCATAGGTATGTAATGTGCTGTTCACATTTAAACTGTTCAAAATAAAATGGGAATTGCTTCCACTACTAGTTGATAACTTGTTAATGTAGATATACATGTAAATGTAAATGCTCAACATATTGCCAAGGTAATTCAAATAAAAATTAAATTTGCTTTATTTATCAGGGGAAGCAAAGAGGAAGAGGAAGAAGCTAGGTACAGCAGCTATAGGAGGCACATATGAGTTGATAGACTTCGATGGAAAAACAAGGACAGACAAGGACTTCTTAGGAAAGTGGGTACTGATGTATTTTGGATTTACTCACTGCCCAGATATCTGTCCAGATGAGATAGAGAAACTCGTTAAAGTTGTGGATACAATAGGTACGGAAATACATGTAATGAAACATTTTAAAAATAAATATCAGGCTCTAAGTGGCCTCTAAAATTAAGGAACCAGCTGGCGCCTTATCAAAAAAATTTAGTCGCCAATGCAAATTTTTAGTCTCCAGGCAATTTTTCTAAGACGCCAACTTTAAAAGTTAATAGAATTAGGGCTGGGACAATATATCGAGATATCGATAATATCAATTCTTTGTGAGGACGATACTCATATTGAGACATAAGAAGAAATATCGCAACAAAATTCTGACTTATGTTTTTCTTTGTTTACCTAACATTTTGGGTTTGAAATATAAAATAAATATGCTAAATATTAATATAAATATGAAATACATTATAATTAATACCACTTGTGTAAACTAATTTTGCTTTACAATAGATATATAACTTCTTTGAATAAATTATTCTTATTTGCGAAGAAATGTTTTGTTTATTTCAAACAAAAAAATGATTTTATAACCAATTCAGCATATCGTGATACATATCGTATTGTGGCATAAATATCATGATATGTATTGATATAGAAAACGCTGTATTGTCCCAGCCCTATATAGAATATAGGGACCCATTACATGCCTAAGAAAACATGATATGTTCATTTTTAAAAATAATTTCCTCTTCTTTTAAATTTCTTTTCGCTTTTTCAGAAAAATTGTTAAAAATGTGAAAATCTCCAGAATTCGACAATCCCCAAGTCATTTTACAATGATCGCCAAGTTATGTCTTTATATTAAAAAAAATTAAAAAATGAAAATAAAATCCTACCTACTGACTCTATTTTTAATTAGGTTGATGCATAATAGTAAACATATTTTTCTTAGGCCTTATCTTTTGGTGAAGGGATTCACATTTAATTGTGAACCAAATGGCTAGATGTTATTGCAAGGGGCTTAATTATTGGAATTGACAATTGTACAAAACACAGGCTAAGAAATTTTCTTCTGAACCATTGAGTAAAAAAAGACAAAGCTAAGTTGCAAGTTTCATTTTATAGAGAAGGTTTAGATTGGTTCAGTGTATCAATCATGATCTCCTTCCTCCATCTTTCCATTCCTGGGACTAGGAAAGTGGGAATGAAGGGGTTTTCAAAGATAAAATGAAATAAGTATTATAGTTTTCCTAGGTACAATGTAAAGTAAATGTAAGTTTGTTCATATGGATCATTTTGGCCTGGGTTGGGTTACAATAAGAATTAAAGCTTTATGTACTGATATTCCTGTAATTTTCTTTAAAAAAGCTTTTTTTTCTCCAGTATGTAAAAAGTCTCCAGAGTCAAATAAAGAGCAAAGAGAGGACGATAGATCTTTTTTGATAGAAGTAGTCTTGAATTTTACTTTTAAAATGTCTTTATTAAGCCTATTTAAAATATGCAAGAATTCCCAGGTAGATTGAAATTTAATGAAGTTATGAACCTTGGGCTAGGTTAAATCCAGAAAAAAATGGGAAAGTTAATTCAAAATAGATTGGCAAAATTGTAATAAGGAAATCCACCTGCAAAGCAGATTTAAGTAGGATCAAAACTCCTCACCCTTCCCCTCAAAGGTCAGGGGATGGGCCATAATTACAGAAAGTTCAAATTTTTATGTTGGTACAAGTATATATAATTAAAATTGGTCAACATGTTCAACTGTTTCAATTATGCCTTTAAGTTTTGAAAAATAAAACTTTTTCACCCATTATCAACTGTGTTCCACCTCAGGGCATCCTGGGCAGTTGTTTTATTTTTAGTTGATAACATGTTATAAAACAACTAAGATGGTTGAGATTGGCTGCTTTTCTCTACAAGTTTTAAAGTGAATCTAAGATGTACAAGTCCATTAATGTATAATGGAAAAAACAGGTTCCTTAACAAGTGCTTGTTAGTAACTGTTTTTTGCAAGCTCTCATTCATTATTTTTTTTGAAATTTTTAACAGACACTGGGCAAGCCTAATGTCTCTTGAAAATTAAAAAAAATTAAGGAACATGAGTTTAAGAAAAAACGTAACTCGCACTAGTTATAGAACTATATTTAAAATTTTAAGATATATCTGTGCTGCAAATATTTGTTGCAGTCATTGTCACTCAGGCATAAATGTATGTAGAATGAGCGTAATCTTTAATTAAAATATATTACCCAGCTGTTAATTTTCCATAATTAAGCTGTATTTTCTGGTGTATTTGTGAATTAGATGCAGATAAAGAGTTGCCTAACATACAACCGGTGTTTATAACTGTTGATCCAGATCGTGATACTCCCAAAGCCATGAAACAGTACTGTGAAGGTAAATCAAGCTTCCTTGGAGAAGTATTTAAATTGTAATAATATTATTGCATTGGACAAAAGACTGTGAACATATGTATTTAACTGAGTGATTCTGGTTTTGAAAGTAAACACTTTCGCTTACAAATACATGTTTGAATAATGCTCTTTTTTGTGTTGAAAACAATAATACAGTCAAACCTCGTTATCTCAAACTCAATGGAACAAAAAAAGCTGAGATATTTGAGGGTTCGAGACATTGAGGGTAAAATATAACAAGAAAAAGTGGTTGGGACTTCCATATGACTCTGACGTATCCAGAGTATTCAAGATATTGATATTCAAGATACCGAAGTTCAACTGTGTTAAAACAGTTTTTTTTTAATTTGATTTGCAGAATTTTCACCTAAGATAATTGGATTGACGGGATCTAAAGAGAAGATTGATGAGGCTTGTAAGAATTTCCGTGTGTACTACAGTAAAGGTCCCGAGGATGAGGACGGAGATTATATAGTAAGTGACTGTACACATTACAAAGGAGCATTCATTATTGGAAAGATTCAAAGAATTCTAAATTTCTAAACAAGCACACAACCCTGAAAATGTTTTTACTGTGTCATTTTCCACTTATGCAAATTAATTTGTTTTACAGGTTGATCACACAATTATTGCATACCTCCTCAATCCCAAAGGAGAATTTGTGGAGTATTTTGGAAAAAACAAAACTTATCAAATGTTAGTGGATGAAATCAAAGAGTACATGGAAAAATATGCATTATTTGAGGATTGATGTGTGTAAGAAATTATGTGCATGTGTTATTTTCATAAATAAATTTGAACATCCCAGTTATTCCGATAGCTTGGAGTTTTCTTTTATACTGTACTTTGCATGATAACAATGATAACAGGGAGATTAAGTAAACCAATGTACATGCATACTTGTATGTGTGTACCATATGGGCATGTCATTATTTCATTCACAATCTCGAATTTTTAAAAACACTTACATGTACACGTACACCGAAACATATTGCTAAAAAAGAATATTTTAACACGTACAAGTACGTATGGATTTAACTTTTAACTAATAATAACAAGAAAACATTGATGTAACCATCAATTGTCGCCCGGGAAATAAATAAAGTAAACAATGGAAATGAGTCTTGATCATCAAACCGCTTCGATATGTGTGAAAAAGGCATGCGTCTAAATGATGGAGACGATAGTAGAGAATATTTTGAAAACTTATAGTCGGATGAAAATCGAACAAAAACGATACCCTTTTAAACTTTATCAATTCCTCAAGTAAATATTGGCTACATAAAATATAATTTGAAACCAGACACATGCATCACCTATTTTCAAAAATGTCTTTCACTTTAAGATTATAAAACACGAACTGTGTAAAGTACGTTTTTACGTTTTTATGCGATAAGTAAAATTCGATGTTCTAAAAAAAGGGACCTGTCGTTTTTTCGATAGTAAATGATAAGCAACTTTATATATTAAATATGAAAAACATATATATTTTTACAGATTCACTTTATGGAAGTCAATATATTGTGTATCTCGTAATTTATAAAGGGAAAGAACATTCTGATTAACAATCTTTTTTAATGTTTAGAAAACCTTTAATTCTAAATAACTTCTCCCACCTCAATCCCCATATACCAACACTTAAACTTATATGTATAGAGCAGCCCGGTCCTCCGGGCTGCAATAATTTTCAATTACAAGTACGCTTACACGTTGGTTTGCTAAACCTAGCTAATGATAAAAAATGAAGCATGAATCAGTTCAGTGGACATAACATCAACACAACTTGAAATGGAAACTACGGCTTCTAAAATTTCAGTCATGTCGACAAATCCTTTGGAAATGGTTACTTTGACATACTTTTAAGATGATCAATCAATTGACATATTTCTGAATTTTACTACATGGTTTCTCCTCCAATGCGAGAGGACTTGTGCATTTCTATACCTCCTGTGGGTGTATTATGTAACCTGTTCAGCTAGATAAGTTATTAATTACCAAGGTATATTTTTTTTCAATATAGACTAATTTATACGATGTTCATTCTCGCTTTCGGATACGCTTAGGAGGTATTTGTCATAAGATCATCCACAGCCCTGATTGAACGCCAGCAGAAACCCGTACCAATTTCAAAAAAAAAAAAAAAAAAAAAAAAAAAAAATCCAGTGAGGGGTTTCTATTGCATTACAACTGATAAAACTTTGATATCATGAACGGCAAGAATTATATGTAACTTTTAAGTTAGATGTCTTTGAACCTAGACCTTTAGATATAAACTTTCGATTTCAAACTAACTGATTTTGGATGTTTGCTTCACTCGAAGTCGTTTTGTGCAATTATATACTTCACAAAATTTTCTTTTCAATGATATGTCCTATATACGTATGTTCCGGTGATCTGCATACCGCGATATAACCCAGCGGTGTTCAAAACTGTACTAATGTATATTCTCGGAATCCGATAGGCTCTGTATTATGAAATATTCCATAAGTTGTTGTGAAGTACAATGTCCCATCGTGAACTCTTACGTGAAGCATGCTTTGTACTCACGTTAGCGTCTTAGCTTGTTTTAAATAGGGAGTGCACGTGCGGCGTTGCATCTATTATATTAATGACCGTCATGGATTAGAACTTGAGGTCGAGAAACCATTAATCAGGTATTGATATTATACTTCTCATTTACATTGCCTTGTCAATCAGTGTGTGGATCTAGATTGTCAGAGGTAATTACCTTTATCTGACAAAGAAGATTTGCACATCTTGTTTACGAACCGGAATGACTGCTTTACTACAATAAAACCCTCTGACATCTAAGTTTCTTTTTTGGCACAGCATATGCAGCCACTATAGGCCAGAAATTAAGAACAAGCACTGTTAACACATTCAGTTTCAAAGACCTATGTCAATGCTTAAAAAGATGTCATAAAAAATTTTGAAATTTTTTCAAAGAGTAGCACACATTTTGGTTCTTATAGTGTCTAGTGCTGTCGCGGACTTGATTCATAAACTTTTAACTATCTTTATACCTTTCATAAAAGTTTGTAGAGACGTGTGCTAGAAATTTTTGATTTTTTCTCACGGTTATTCAACAAAAAATTAAATATTAAAATATTAACTAATCAAATCGAATATTCTAAGAATATCTTTAGAATATATCAAAATCAGGATCAGGACTCGTATGGCTATTGCTGCTTTTTAAAAGACAAAAGGCGGATGTATAAATCAGATCAATTATTAAAAGTAATCATAATTTTTCAGGCTGGTCATGAATACTTGGTAGAAAAATGTCCAAAAACTCAACTCTAAACCCTAGATATGATATTCATATAAAAAAGAAAAAGAGGTATCGTTTTCAGAATTAAAAGACAATAATAGTTTAAAACTTGTAATATAATTTTTTTTTTTAAATCATTTTATTAAAAAAATAATAATTATAAATTATGAAATCCATGACCTTACTTACTCAATAAAGAATCAGTTGCATGACACCGTCACACCCGGAATAAATCTCACACCGGAATTGATTAATTGCTCTGCACACCAAGATGCCAGGACTCATTCAGATTCCCAGGGAGATGATTCCATCATGTGCTTTACAGGTCTGTCAGCAGCTAGTGAAGAGTAGGCAAACGTATGACCAAGTCAAAGGATTAATTCTACAGAGGGGAGAAAGTTAGCACTGGAGAGAGGTATATGATAAACCTAATTGTAGAACAGATGATTTCTGTTTATCTTGTCCATTACTTATGACCCCCTTTATTAAATGTCAGAATACGTTTCTAATCTCATGAAACCCATTACAGAACATGCTGGTAATAGAGAAATAATGAAGTCAAGCATTTTGTGAAGGTCGAGAGGTTCATAAATTTTGTTTTATCGCCACGTATAACCCTTCGACCTTCCATTTCATATACTAAGCTAGCAAAATTTGTACCATCTGGAAATATTCTAGTTAATATACGATAAAACAAATATCAGTCTTCAAAGGTCTTCGGAAACTTATTTATCTGATGCTGTGAACAGATCTCTAGACCTGGATTAAATTCTAGTAAAATGGATTATTTGTAATTTTTTTTTAAAAATAATTATAATAGAAAAAATATCTACTTTAAAAATAGTTTTCTGGTATCTGTATAAATGTAAGTCTTTGCGCGCGCTGTAACTTTATGTATACCAGGTCCGTACATGTAGCAACGTTTTCCAACGTTGGGGGAGGGGGGGGGGTTAATCTCCAAGAAATCTGACAAGCAAAAATAAAAACAAGCCTGCCCAAACTCAAAAACCTTATTTCGTGGGGGTGGGAGGGTTGGACCTTTCTTTTACTTTTCAAATGCTAAAATTTACCAGGTTCAACCTAGCGGCAACAACTTGGGGGTTAATCGGCATTTAAATTTATATATTAAAATAGAGCAAAAACTATTCTCATCAGATGTCCCCTCGCATACTACGGACCTGTGCACAAGTGGACCTACATCCGAAAAAAAGATTTTCAATAAATTGAATGTGGAACATTCAAATGTATGCATATCTCGTTCTTCGTTTATTTTGACTGTCTAATCATGTACAATGTATCTCAGTCACTCAATGCCAAAGTAATTGTGATGATGTTTATGCATGTATTTTCATTCACCCTTCATTCAGTCTCAATTCTCAAAACCATTAGCAATACCTGAATGAATTTTACACAATTTCATTGCAGGGATATCTGAGCTGAAAACAACATGTATAAATGTACATGTACTAGCAGAGAAATGGCCAAAGGAGCGAAGTCATTATATTAACTACCTTTGATGTAGGCGTGTGCACAAATTGTTTCATTTGCACACAATATTCCTCCTACGTGTTCGAAAAGATTAAAAAGAAAGAATAAAAATGCAGTAATTTGTGATCGATCCGTCGTTTGCACTTCTAATCAAACTCTTGCTTCAGGCGTAACTCAAGTCGACAATCCAATGTTTGCATCAATACTGTCTAATCTACATACAAAAACAAACGAACTCAACTAACTGATCTAATTAAGGATTCATAGAAAAATTCACTTCTTTTTAATGTTGACACAGAAATTATTTGTCTCCAGTGTCAAATGCTTGATGAATGGTAAAAGGTAATACATGTGCATAACATTTACATTTGTTTACAAACAGGTGTGATTAAATCAGACCTTCAAGAGTTAATCTGTTGCAGAAAGAGATAATTGCAAGTTTATCTACATGTTCCGTGTATATGTATTTTCTTTGATTAACAGTCGATTATGCAAAAATGAAATGATATCGTTTCTTTAAGAATTCATGATTGAACAAACCATTCACTAAAGGTTCATGTGAAACTTTACAATAGATTTACTTATCTAAATTGTTAAAATTAAGCGTTTTCAATTTTTAATCAAATGAGGTTGATGAAAATGTGCCATTAGAATTTATGGTATGGAAAATGTTGTGAATTAACTCAACAGCTAACAATGAAAAATATTATATACGATAATACATGGGTACAGATTGTTTATGATCTGCATGTATCAACATGTGAAAAAATATACTTATGTCCATTTGAGCCTTATATATTTTTATTAATTGTATACTATCCCATTTGAGCCTTATATATTTTTATTAATTGTATACTATCCCATTTGAGCCTCATATATTTTTTGAATTGCATACTATCCCATTTGTGCCTGATATATTTTTATTAATTGTATACTATCCCATTTGTGCCTCATATATTTTTATTAATTGTATACTATCGTGGATATAATCCTGCATTTAAAATATTTAGTTAGATTACTTTTGTAAGCCAATTTGCACAGTTGTGCCATATGACTTGCCCACATAATACTGCGAAAATTACAAAATGAGTGCATAATGATGTATCGCGTTTCTCCGAACTTTTGACAACAATTTAACGGCCTGACAAAACATGTTTAAGGACTTGCAATCCCAACTTAAGTAAGAGGAAGGCGTAATGCGACAAATCGTTTGGTTCTTGACAAATTCGAAATGTGATTGATACATGTACACTGTAGTTGTACCTTGCCTACATACATCCAAAAAAAAAATATCTTCCTAACAATCCTTTACCACAAATAATTATTTTCTCATCTTCTTAATTTGTTACTGAAAGCATATAGTGCAATCAGATTTCTATTTACAAGAACAAAATATTGCGTTCCATTATAGGGCAAATATTCATAGAAATACGAGATGAATGATGCATGTCAAATTTATTTTTATTTTCAAGAACTACAAATGAATTTTAAACATTTAATTGGACAGTCAATTTTTGCATGTATAATGCTTCTTTTTATGTTATTTCATAAGAAAGTAAAAATGGGAGTCTTTAATTTATGTAAATTAGTTTTCCTCTCGTCTGAGAGCTGTTTACCAGGTCGCCTGATTTCTTTTTGTTTTAAACATCAATCTTTGCTACACCTTCACGCAACTGCAATGGTGCTGTCAAAAAATGCAGCCACCGATGCGGATCAGAAACCAAAGGAAAATCTTTGTAGACATAGGTACAAATGTTTCTATTACATCATAACAACAGATGTATAAACGCCCAGGGACTACATACAACTATTTTCATAATTAAATTCGATCTTACTTGGAACTTATAATTCGTTTCATTGCGGAAAAGTTAACATTTCCATCTATTTTGCTCTAAAACACTGTTGGTTAATTTTGCAAAAATGAGACTTTTCATCGTGCTATTAATTGTGGTTGTCCTGTTCCAATCTTCGTTTGGAAAACCTAAAACAAATGAGAAAAAAGAAAAGAAAGGTATGTGTTTTCTTGAATCTCAACAAATCTAGAATTTCTTATATTATTTTTTATAAAATTATATCCGCATCGACCATATTAACCTTAACACGTCTTTTTCGTTTCTTGCAGCCCCAAGATTAGGTAAGTAAAATTATTTTAAAGATTAAGTACCGGTATTGGAAAGTAAAATTCCCCCATAACCAGCTTTCCTCACGGAATCTGTCCTTAATAGGACCCCAGGGGAAATCTCACACAAGAACCCAAAATTTTACCCTCTTTCTTTCTCAGAGTAGTTCCCCTATTTTATTAATGCTAAACTCATATCGACAATATATTAGCTAAAAGTTTATGTGAAAGTCAACTGTCTTTATAAAAATAGATATATGAGTGTTTTCGACTCAGGAAATTTAGTATGAAATCTTAAAATATAAGCGTTCAAATCATTTAGTCTCAACCAAAAAATTTCACTCATAGGAAATTGTAAAATTATTCACTCAAAAAATCGTAAGACTAGATGTTCCAACTCCTTCTTGGTGCAGCGGTATCTATTTCTTCACTAATTTTAAAAAAGTATATCATGCCTCCTTTAGAGATTAAATTTGTTTGCTCTCCATCGGACAAGTATTTTATCTTTTATATTCAGAGCTCCTGTTGGAAAAATATAGAAATGACACTTGTAACAATGTGTCCCCCACATATATAAGTACAGGCATGATTATTTTATTGGTGGGGAAAATTGGCTCTGGAGGAAATCGCACTCAGTAACTATAACACGGAATAGAATCCCCATCCACCCCACCCCCTATCCACCCCAGAAAATTGAATTTAGTGTGTGATTTCCGACGAGAAAATCCTACACGAGTCATTTTCCTGTGGGGGAAATCCTACTCTAGAACCTATTTTCCGGGATATCCTACTCTATAGAGCCAGTTTTCCGGGGGAAAGATTTTAGAGGGGAGAACCTACTCTACAGGACCGGTATAAAGATAGAAAGACTCAAAAATGAGCGAAAAAGATAGGTCCGAGTTTTAATTATATATTCTTTTTTCTCTCACTAGACTTTAATTCTCTGTTTCGGTACCTTATGAAGTATTTTCCATCTACCCCTGATTTCAAGCAACTCTTTGCTAAGCCGCAGAAACCAGATGCACCGCCACCTTCTGATAAAAAGACCACTGGATCCGCCGTCAAAATTAAGAAAGTTTCCGCCAACAGTGATGTAAGTTACAGCTACTAGTATTCTTATAACTAGAATAAAATTGCACGACAATAGTCAAACACACTAGCTGTAGAAAAAATGCAGAAAAAAAAACTTGTATTTTTGCACAGGTTTTTTAATGGATGATCTAGAAGTACTTTTTTTCTGCTAAAAAGATCAATGTCCATAGCTTCACTCTAATTTTAAATGAAATTTCAATACGTTATCCAGAATGATGAAGTGCGGAACAATTATTGAATAGAAGAATTAATTAGATTTCTTTTTAACGTCAAATATGAAGATAACGAACAGTTATCAACTCAAAAGTCCTGTAAAACAGTACAAATTAGGAGCAGATCAAACAAGGACCTCTAAAAACATCAGAGGTAGGATTGGGTGCTATGAAGGAGTAAGCATCCTCCGTCGACCGGTCATCCGCCGTGTGCTCCTTGTCATGATCGGGCAAACAGAAAAATCCGTATACAATTTAGTGACAAAAAATGGCCTAACAATTTGAATGAGAAACGTCAGTCAACATTCGACTTAATGATAGATTGTATTTTCTGACAAGGTCATTGTATCGACCACAGAATTTGCGAAATTTACTTTAAACTAGACTGTTGACATTCTTATTTCATTAACTTATTTGTGAATAGCTTGCCTCATTTTAGAAATTTTTCATACGTAGAGCATGCTTTTGCATATCGAATCAGCTGGAAGACACGTGTCGGTGATAATGGTACATTACTACATAAATAAGGAAAGTTGACGATAGAAAAGTTGAAGTCATCACGTTTATCATAAAGTTTTATTGTAAGGTTACCATTAACGTCTTTTTCTAGTAAAAAAATCCAAATATGAACAGATGTGTCAGATGAATATTTTTAATTGGCAAAACGTCGTCGATTTATCTAAATGTAGAATTAAAAGCCACAGCAAGAAACTTTTTTCATGAAGATTTTGAATAAATCTGCTTCATATGAATACAAAATTAGTACCCATGGGAATTCCGACAGATTGTTGGAATACTTGATTTCTAAAAACTACGTAAATATTGACAATCAGAAACTCAAGCATCTTTTTAATGACAACTTCGGAGTACTTGTGGATAAAATCAGAATGCTTTTTAACAAAATAATTTTGCAAATGACCAATGACATGGTAAGTAAATTTACGAGATCCGTTTTTATTGAAAAAGCAGCTTTCTGATGTCAAAAAGCCTGGAATTTAAGTATCCATATTTGATTTACACCACTTCTCGGATATATTGTAGTACAGTACTCTTCACTGCTGTTAACATTTTAGTGAGGAGTAAAGAAAGAGGCTTGGTAGAACATTTACTGGAACCCACTATGTGTGTTTGTTTGTAAGGATTTTTATGTAGTTTAGAAATCCAGTATAGGTACGGTAATTCAAATTCAATTTGATTGTTGGGAATATAAAAATAATATTTAAAATACTTAGTATGTAATTTGTACTTGACACATGCCAGGTTTCCACATGCAGAGAAGAATTTCGAGAGATTCCAGGACATACAATGTGTAAGCCGGACAAGGGAAAAGCCATACGATGGGGTGTTTCTGAAACGGAAAAAATGGAAATTGTCAAACAACATAACATGTTGAGGGGAAGCATCGAACCCCCAGCTACTGATCTCCCGGTCATGGTAATTTATTCATTTCTTCAACTGACATTGTTCCGGTTGCAGACCTTTAATGTTCATCATCCTATAACATTTAGCTTTAAGACTAATGATTTTCAAAAGAAAAAATCAAATTCTTGTATTAGAGTGTACAGAATTCAGCATAATTTGTGGGGGAAATTTTGACAAAAATGGTCTTTTTACTGGACTATTTTATCAAGGAATAATAATCATCTTCAGTATGAGTTATACCTCTTTTCAGAGGGTCAATGAACCTTAATAGTCTATGATAAGAAAAAATACAGACCGTGTATTAAATTTTGATTTAGGAGCTGTTCAATTTTAGTTAATTTAATTAAGATGTGTTGTGAACTTGGAAATTCTTACGTTAATTGATCCATTTGCTTATGATAATCTTATATTGGGCCTTTCCTGAGGCTATTAAGACATTCTACATGTTATTTAACTGATTGATGTTCCTAAATACTTTCATTCATCATCACATCATGAATATGCAGACATATGATCAGTGAATGCACGGTTGTTTCTTAACTGCCAGGTCTAAGACATAGCAGTTTCTCTGAATGCTTAATTACTGTACACTGGGTCGTCTTTCTTACTGGATGTTAAAAAAATCAGGAACTACAATGTAAATAATTACGTGTACTTGCTTGATGTTCAGTGGCTGTGTTATTTCCTTTTATCCTTTCATCAGAATTAAAGTCATGTAATGTAATTAAAATTGCTAATTTCTAACAAAACCGTAACGACCTACATTTGTTTTCATCCTTTAACTATAGGATATGTTTCTAACAAACACCCGACCGAGTTTCAGAAATTCTATTTATAGAAGTAAAGATCTGTGACAACTTCAGTTAGATCCTTGTTAAAGAAAAAAAAGAAGATTTTTATAAGGAATAATGTAGATTATTTTATACAGTATAGATCTACAGATTGTATGTATGTATTGTATGTGCCAAAATCTAAATTTTAACTTTGAATTGTTTATTAGCAATGGGACGATCGATTGGCTGAAGTTGCCGAGAAGTGGGCGAAACAGTGTACTAACCAGCACGACAAAGTCCGAACTATTCCTTGTATGTATGCATATCTATATGAAAAAAGTCACCATAATTCAAACTCTCTTAAATTTTCATGAATTAAGCATCAAAATTATTGATATCCTTGTATATACTATATTTTAGCATTAGGGAGTACAACCGTTGGTCAGAATGTAGCTGGTGGACAACCAAACTGGACGGTGGCTATTCAGATGTGGTGGGATGAAATTGAGATGTGGAAGTATGGACCGGAACCCGACTCCTATCTTGGTTTCAATGGGTGGCTTAAAGTCGGTCATTTTACACAAGTATGACAACTATACACTTGTATACCGGTGTTTTGTAAGAAAAAAATGAAATGGTAAAACATTATCTTCAAGTAAATGTAACAATTATAAAATTTGATAAATACTAATATTATTTCAATTCAGAAGAAGCATTAGCACAATCTTTTAGAGAACAATATTGATAAGTAAAAATATACAGTTAAGATAATAGTACCTTAGATAATTATGCAATAATTCTTGTACAGATGGCCCAAAATGGGACTTACCTGATCGGTTGTGGGTACGCATACACCGACGATGACCCTTTCCGTTACAAGAGATACTATGTCTGCAATTACGCTGCAGGGTAATACAATTCTCTGTAATTCATGTACAGACATGATAACAGGCAAAGGTATCATTATAAATACTAAAACTACGATATATGCATGCATCAATGAAATTTCTCATATAAATTTTCTTCTGTTCTGTTTACAGGCAATCAGATTTAGGAAAACCATACACACAGGGAAAAAGGTGTAGCAAATGCCCCAGTTTCTGCAAAAATGGACTTTGTGGTAAGGTCTAGAGGAAGGGTTTTGTATTTAATGGTTAATTCTGCAATGATGTAGATTATGTTTATTGTGACAAAATCTTTACAAGAGACCCATATTTTATGCAGATTGCGGTGGCAGAAAGTGTGATAATGGTGGAAAACTAAATGTAGAAACCTGTGAATGTGAATGTAATAAATTATACACCGGACCTTCATGCGAGGAACGTAAGTTTACATTTGGCTGAATAACACACTCTATTTTTCCTCTTTAAATCTGTGTGAAAGGATTTTTTTGTGCATTCGTCATATATATACACTTGCAAATTGTTTTTTTCCTTCAGTTTCCTGCCCTGATGAGGATTTGTGGGTCTGTGGAAAAACATGGACGTCTGATCTTTGTGACCACTACGCCAATGTCCCGTATGACTGCCCCTACATGTGTGGCAAGTGCAAGTCTACAGGTATGTGCCGTAGAACGAATTAATATTAGTTTTATTGTCACATTTCAATTACATTTTAGTGAAAAGTGATTAGATTTTCACTAAACAACACGTAAAATGTAAGATGTGTGCAGTACTATCCTTTGTTGGGGAATGAGAACTTATTTTCGTTCTATTAATTGATATTAAGTAATTCATAAACTAAATTTCAATACATTATCAAATCAAAATGTGACAATGACATTGAATGCAATAAATGCATTCTTAATTTTGTTTAACTCTCGAATTTTGTCTTTTTTTAATGAATACTCCATTAGATTGCAAACATGCAATTCAAAAACATGAGACAACTTGAGAAAATCTTTGATGCAAAGTATTGGGAAAAACACAGAAGCAATAAGATTCAACTTTACTTAATATTTCGAAGTCCTTTAGTGTTTATTGAACTTACATGTAATCTATTGAAAAACATAACTTATCTTTGGAGGAATTAAAGCACATTCAAATTTTGAAACATACAATTTTGCATTAATATTTCTTTTTACAAATAATAAAATTATCAGAATGTTGCGATAATAATTTACAATAAATGAACACCTAAATCTAGCCAAACAACCATTAAAAAATGATTCTTGATGATGGAATGACATCGTTGAATTTTTCAGGAAAGAAAGCGAAAAAAGCAAGCAAACACGGAAAAGCTAAAAAAGGAGACAAGAACGCATTCACTTCAACTTATGGCTGTAAATATTCCGGAGAGAGGGCTACTCGAGGTATACATTCAATGAACAAGTTTGCTATGTGCGCTTTAACAAAATTATCTTAATACAAAAATAACTTATTTCTTTAATTTATGTTATTATTTTAAATTCTACCATGTTTTAGTATTTAAATAATTTGTTTAAGAAGATAATTCGTTATGCAGCCTCCCAATTTTCAATGCAAAGAATAAAAAAAGTCAAAAAAAGTTTGAATTACATTATCGTCCATGCGCATCTTCATGAAAGCATTTAAGGTGTGATTCATTATGACATTAGCTTTGATCTTTACCTTATCTCATTCTACTATTTTACATTAGATATCAATGTCATGTATCCCGTTCTTTTTCTAGAGGAGTGTAAAAAGAAGTACGGTAAAAATGGGAATGACATCCCACAGTGTGGAAGCATGGGCGGATCCTTGTCTTGTAAAGAGTGCGATAGATTCTCTAACGTTAGGTCAGAAATGTGCCCGGTTATGTGTGGACTGTGTGATCGTAAGTAAAATATAAATCTTTTGTATAGCATTTGATTTGGAAAGATATGTCTCTTTCTCAAAGTCATATATGGCGTATTTTTTTTTATAAGTTCACACTAACTAAAATGAAAAAGATCTTTCATTTTGTTTTTTTCTTTTATATAAAGTTAGGAATTTCCTGTAAATTATATTATTTAAATGAATCACGTTTCAAAGATTTTAGAAATTTAAAGCAATAACCGATTTATTTACCGACTCCGCATTTAATTATCAGACACAGTTTAAAATCCATTGAACTATGGAAACATGAGGTTATTCAAGTTCAAAATCGGTGAAAATTTTAATTTGAACGTAAATAATATATATCATGTTTATCTACACTCAATCTCCTATTTTTATTATTTTTTTTAGCTCAGATACGCCATATATAGCTTTAAGTTTTAAATAGCCAAGCTTTTTAGAGCAGCAAATGAACAGCAATTAAATTATTGGTATGTTTGTGTGTAGGCAAAAATACTTAAATGCACATGCAGTCATCTTTCGTGAAAAACTACTTATTTATTCGTTGACTCCTTAGATATACTATTGTGATACTTTTCAGCTCCATGTGATGGAAAAACATGTAGTAACGGAGGTACACTGAACACAGACACGTGTGAATGTGCCTGTGCCTCACCGTACATACCCCCTACATGTGATGAAGGTAGGATTTCTTATTGAAGCCATGGGTAAATTCAATGTTACAGCTCTTCTAAGTCTGCAAAGAAAAGAAATTTTGTCCAAAAAACGATATGCCAGATAGAGATGTTTTTCATAATTATGGCGTGGAGTGAAATTCAGTTACCTGAATACAATTCTAATGTCGATTTGATTATTAATTTTGACAGCTGACTGCAGTAAACCAGACGGGAAAAGCTGTCTTGCATGGCCTAAGAGCTACTGTAAAAAATATGCCAATGTCCCTGAACAGTGCCCACAACGCTGTGGAATTTGCCCTTAGAGGTAACACTCAGATTTCCTCTCAGCGTATTTGCAAAGGTTTCTTAATTGCTTATTAATAAATGAATTAAAAATTAATCTCTGGACTTTTAGAATTGGGCTCCATGGATCTATTTGTTAAATCCTCTTTTTATTATTTTGACAGATAAATGATGAAGCATGATGCAGAAAAGACGAGGATTCCAAACCATTTTATTTTCACTCCTTTGTTTTGTATTTATTTTGCACTTGATTATTAAAGAGAATCATTTGATTTTCACATTTTGCAAATGTTACTCATTTCCCTGTACACAACTGCCTTTACATTCTTATCTTTCTGAAAAGAATTTTAAATATTTTTACTGAAATTTCCGGTAAAATTTGATCACATGAGATATGGCTTGAAAAGAAATACACATACAAAATCATGCACTGAACTTCCATTGGTTCGTAAGTTTTCCTATTTTAATCTGATGTTATAGAACTTTCAAGGCTCAAGCACACTCACACAGCTAGTTTAACAAAATTTTGACTTCTTTATCTAATGATTATAAAGTGCATACTCTATGAAAGCTGACGCTTTTACTTTTACAAAACCCATGGATGAGGTAGTGCAAGGTGATAAATATTTACGAAAAATTTTTTTAACATGAACTTTCACACACTTCTTGTACACAGTTTAAAGACGTCTTATATCCGTTATGGTCATTGTTTATATGTATCATTGTATATTATTATGTCATTTCTAAAACTGCAATTAGTGGACTTAACATAGTAGCACAGTATAATACCATTTCTTTTGTAGACACTTTTAATTTGGTAAAAAGGTTTTGTTCATTCTGTAAAAGGGAATGTATTCAATTTCTTTTAAAAGTGGCATACAATTGTATTTACTCAAGAAACAATTTGCAGAGTACAAAGTCCATTTAAAAGAAATATTCTTTTTTACATTTATCTCTTAAATTAAAAAAAAGTTGATCAGGTATATTTATAAATAGAGAAATGATTGTTTATGGAGATACAATTCACAATGACACTGCTTCAATAGATTGAATGTAAACATAACAAGCTTAAGAAACTATATTTATTATATTAGTTGTAAAGGTATGAACAAAGCATTTTAATAAACTTATCCAAAGCTTTATTTGTCGTCACATTTTTGCACTACAATTCAGAGGATTTTATATCTTCTGAGCTATGAAACATCCTTTAAAACAATTTAGATTTCTACGTGGATTTTATGTCTCCTCAGGAGACATAGATTTTAGCAGGCTTTCTTGTTGACTGTCTGTCTGTGACAAATCATGTTCGAGCCATACATCCTTAAACCCTTTTGGGAATGGGTTCAAATTTCGAAGATGTGCATGCCCCCTTCTGGCATCATTTTCTTAAACCCCTAAATCGTTTGAACATTCCAAATAAAATTTACAAGATTTCATAGAATTTACATGCTCATACATTTCCTTCCTTAAGTCCGGTACACACGCTAGGATTTGTAGTATGTCACATGTATAATAATTCTTGTGCATTGTAGTACTTTCTTCTAGAAACTTTATGCACATCTTATGGGATTAAAAATGAACATAGAAATTTTAACGTGCTTTTTCCCGCTATATTATTCTCAAAATAATGTCAGCAATGCCTGAAAACATTTTAAATAGTTCTTTTGATTGTATCAGTGCTATACGATTATAGCACTGAAGACTGTATTTTTGCACTGATCTGAGTTTCTGATACAAAAGGAAGAAGTTAATTAAAGATAGTTAATGATATATGAAATGCTTTGTGATTCTGAAAATCTTAATGCATCTCAACAGCATGAATGAACTTAATATTATCTTTACAGCTTTTGCAATTGGTAATTTAATTAAAAATAGGATGGTTTTACTTATATCTGATTGGTTGAAAATGAAGACTATCTAAGACTTTTATTAAGAATTGCTCTATTCTTTATACAGTTTTAATGAAATATGGAGATAACGAACAGTATTCAAGCTCAAAGTCCATTTAAGCAATAAAAATCGGGAGCAGAGCAAACACAGACCTCCAAAAACATCAGAGATGGGATCAGGTGCCATGGAGGAGTGAGTATCCCCTGCCGACCGGTCGCATCCACCGTGTGCTCCTTGTCTTGATCGGGGGAAAAGAAAAAAAATCCGCAGACAATTTAGTGTGTTAACACTGGCCTAACAATTAGTATGAAGAACGCCAGTCAGCATTTAACCTGAATGATACGTTGTATCTCTATCTGTTGACAAGGCCATTGTGTCGGCCATAAAACTTGCGAAATGATGACTTCAAACGAGACTGTTGATATCCTAGTTTCGTCAATTTGTTTGTCAATAGCTTGCCTCGTTTTAGAAATTATTCATACGTAGAACATGCTCTTGTGTAACGAATCAACTGGGAGACAAAAACTCCATAAGCAGGTGATAAGGGTATATTGCTACATAAGTAAGGGAAGTTGACGATTGAAAAATAAAATGAAATAAAATTTATAATACATCCTTGTTCTTAGGTTACCATTAAAGTCTTTTTCAAGTAAAATATCCAGATATGAAACAGACTCTATGGTATCTTTTACTTCAAGCTCACTGGGATATATCGAGTCGACATATGAATGGAAGTAACTATTGTTAATTGATATTACTACAGCAAGTGTTTTCTTCTCATATAGTAGTTTTTGAATAAAGTCTGCATCATATGAATACAAAAACAGGTCTGTTAATAAGGGAGTGCAATTGGTACCCATGGGAATTCAAAAAATCTTGTAATACACTGTATTAAGAGTCTAACACGGTAAGATTCTGTATTAAAAGTCCCGCCGTGTACACTTGCGTTTGAACTCAGGTAGAAAATTCGTCGTATTTTGAGGTTGCACTGCCTGGTCAAATTGTTAGCAGAGCAAACATGGACCTCTGAAAAAGAGGTAAGATCAGGTGCCCTGTATCGACCGTTGAAACCCACCATGTGTCTTTTTAAATCGGGTAAACAGGAAAATACGTAGACAACTCAGTGTGAAAATAACGGCTAGAAAAACACCTGGCAATATTTGACTTTACGAGAGATTTAGTTTGCGAACAAGGTCATTGCATCCACCGTAGAATTAGCAGAATGTTGACATCATTGTATCATCTAATTATTTGTCAATAACCTGTCTCGTTTAGTAATTATTCGTAAGTAAAACATACTCTTGCGTGTCGAATCAACTCGGAGAAATTAACTCCATTTGCAGGTGATAATGGTATATTGCTACATAACTACCGTGTCAACAAAACCGAATGAACCGAAAGTCTAGATTTATGTTAAAAAGCAAATTCTGGAACCGCAATTGTCCGTCAATTCTTGCATTTTCTCTCATCAAGAATTATACATCTTTATCATCAATGATGGATTACAGAAATAACAAGAAAAATAATTCTGTATAGTAATTTTAAACTACATGGTTACTGTAGTATTCAGTGCACTTTTGCACTGTAGAGATCTCGAGTTCGAAATCAAGAAAACAGACATTTTTTGTGATAGAATAATTTTATTTTGTTTCAATATATCAAGAGGTACGAGTACATTTTTTGTTCTATAGCAACATTTTGTAAATAGCATTTCTCATTGACGCTTTGATCATTTAGGAAAACCCTGATCAAGTGTGTTTAAAATTCATTGGAAATTTGCGATTGATGGATACAAAAATGAACAGAAGATCAAAACAAAAATTGAATCAGATTTGATATAATTACCCCTTTTTATGATCTACCTATTACTCCCTAATATTATTCATTCATTAAAGAAATCAAAATTCAAAATTTGACAATTCATCTTATTCTTACGCAATTCATTTATTTCGAAATATAATCACTCACAAGCAACGAATTGTTTATTCACTTTCCAGAAAGTGCGATGCAAGGTTTTCAAGTGAAATGTACCGAATTCGTAAACCTAGGGTTTTTGTTAATATAAAATTCTCGTGCAATAAAAGCAGACCCAGTTTTTAATATAAAGCTATATTTGTGAAATCATCGCTTTAAGATTGTTTAAGATCATTTATTTTACTTGTATTAATTTCATTCTAATAAATGAATTTGGTATTTCTATAATACAAAGTTTTCCCTTCAATTTCAAACTAAATTGATCTCTAGGAAGTATTTAAACTCTAAGAAAGAAAGGGAGGTACAGTCAATCCTCCATCATATACACATATTCCTCTCTCTCTCTCTCTCTGAAATGAAAAGGAAATTCTCCCAATTGAACAAAGGTCTCTGCAAATGCGCAAATTTTCTTTTTAATGTGTTTAGGAATTTTATAATTAAGTTATTGACATCTCATTTTGGAAATCTGAAATCAAAGCTTACACAAATTAGCCACCGTCAGCCTCCTACAGAGAATCAAGTATGTGTATAAACTCTGAATCGGCGATTTTTTTCAGGTCTACTGTAGTAAATATTTGTCCTGGCCCTGGGCCTAATGTCTTTTTATCTATATAATTAGGAATACATGTTTTAGCAAAATCATAGTTTGTTCTTCTTTATCATAATTTTAATGCTGTAGAAATGAAACATCTAAAAAAAAAATTAGAATAAAATCATTTATGGAAATTATGCCAATTACTATTATTCTATAATGATGATTATTCATCAGTTAACGAAATTGATAGAAAGATTAAGCGTTAAAAATAACTATTGACACTGAAGTCAGTTTAGCAGGCTAATTTTTTCTGCAGCAATTGCGAACGTTAACCTTGTATGAAACAACGAAGAAAGTGTATGTTATATGTTTCATATCTTTTTAAATTATTCATCAGCTAAAGCAGGTGAAAATGATTTTATAAATTGCATCATCTATCAAAATGATACGCACTTTAATCTAGATGGAAAACCACCAAAAAAAAAATAAAAAAAACAAAAAACAGTTGACCTTCAAGACCTCTTCTAGTTCTTTTTCAGCCAGTTAGTGGATACAACTATAAATTGATAAATGCAAGATCATCTTAAATTGTTATACGTTTATTACAAATATGTCTCAATTTCAAGATAACCTACACAAAATTCCGAGACAGATTTTCCAATTTACTCCCTTGAAGTTGTTGATTTTCATGGAACACTAGCTGTAAATTTTTGCGGGTATTGCTGAAACTCCTATTTCAACTAAAATTGTTTGAATACAAGCATTCATACAGAGCTAAATGATGTTTTATTTTGAGATTATACGAGGGTTGGTCAGAAAAATAGTGGACAAAGTGTTTTTATCGAAAGATAATGGGTGCACTAAGCTGAAATTTTCAGTAGTTGATTTATCATATTTCAGTACATTTAAACTTTTTTGGTAAAATATAGTCAACAAGAAAGATTTTTTGCACAGGGTACGGTCCTACAGCGCACGATAAAAAATAAATTGCCCATTTAGTTGAATGATAGTGAGAGTACCGTCCATAAATTACTAATAAATCTTTAGAAGGTTTCATGTGTGTCCAAGATTAGTTCCTCGATTGTCTATGGAGGAATAAAGGGAAACTCATGTATGTACATCAATGAAACTCCCGAAATTAAGTTGGGCTTATCCAACTTTGTTTTAGCTAAGGAAACGTTACGCTGCTTTCGACACTTTGACGTTATCATCCGTGCGCTCTAAGGCGATACCACACATAAAATAAAATCTTATATCTTGTTTCTTTGAGCATATATCTAGTTGAAAATTTTTATTTATATTGAAGAAAAATGTACAAAAGAGTAATGAAAATTTTAGAACACAGTGTTGATTGGGGAATGTCCAAAGTGTAATACGTCAACGCGAAAGTGATGACGTCATTATCCTCAGAGCTGTACCAATGATATTGAATGTTGAGGATGAGCATGATAGACTCGCATTGGCGGTTGAGTCTATCCATGATTTAAAAGTTTTCAATCTAGACAATTTGTTCACAACTTTATCGGACAACCCTTGTACAACGTAATTGCAAAGGTCATAATTCCATTCTACATCTAATTTTGGAAATATATACATGTACGTACTGTATCCCCAAAACAGAAACTAACCCTAAAACTGTTACACACGTGAATGAAATAAATTCAAACAAAATAAAGAATTCTTCCTGCTAACTTTTATTATTTATCTCAAAATCGTAGATTATTCGGTCAAAAAATTATCCAAATTTATGAAAACGCGCCATTTGCCGCTCTCCTTTACTTTTACCACATAAAATTCGATAACTTATCTGAAAGGTTAATTGAAGTTATAAAACTTGAAATACCACCCCCCCCCCTTCCTCTATTGTACATGCAACAGTAAACTAGCGTTCGAATCCAACTCTAACATTATAGGAAAAATATCCGGAAAACAGAAGTGAATATTACAAAAAGAGAACCTAGTTCCTGCTTTCATCTACAGGAGCTTAACAGCATCAATCGTATAAGTTAAGAATTCCTGGCATAAAATTAATAATTAGAAAAAAAGTTGATTCTAAAACTGAATTTTCATTCTCCCAGGATTTATGATTTTGGTTTTCAAAAATAAAATGGTCTAAAATTAAATTCTCGATATACAAAATCTTTTTATATTTTAGTTTTATGTTAAAACATTGATTTTGATATTTATGAAAATTTAGAGAAAAAAAAAATAGCCGAGTTATGCTTGAAGTTGGTTACTTTTTGTTTTGTTTTTTTCAGATCTTTTTGTTCATTTTTTCGGTCAGACATAAGAATCGTAGTTGTAACACATACTTCCCCAAGATACTTCTAGCCCATTGTACTTTATCAGAGCAAGAGTTGTTTTCAAAAATTGAACACTTGTTGAAAAAGGAAATTACAACTGCCCTAACATTTACCTTTGTATATGGAAATGTTTTCTTTAGAAGGTGCAAGCTATAATTAGAGTTAACATTTAAGAAAGTTAATTCATCAGAGAGAGTGACAATTACGTATGTTTCTTTACCGATAAATGAATATCACGATCCCATGCACAATCTTGTTTAGCATTCATTGTGTTTAGTGGTACAGGGCTTTGGACCATACAAGTGAGGGCTCCCTGAATGAAATGATGAAATGGATAATTGGTCTGATATTGGCGTCGCTGTTACGTGACACATTATCACAGATTTCAAGCTCTTCACATTCTCATTCTTCCTCTTCGTCATCGTCATCGTCTTCTTCATCGAACAATCAACAAGGTAAGATTCAATTCAACGATATTTTTAAGCAATAAAAAATATCATTTTATAAAGATGCCAATTATGTATTCAATAGGTAATGTAATTTATTTGCACATTTTTCACGCATCTTGATAACAGCGGTTACTATAAATGAAGGCTAATTATGAAGACAAAGTGCAGTACAGTAACGTTAAATTGTGTTACACGCTTGATAAAATAAATCATATTAAATAGAAGCTTTCTTTATGTTGTCCATTATAGAAGACCTGCATTTGAAGTTAATTTCTAGCAAAATATTATATTTTATGGTACTTTTTATTTTAAGCCTTCTGTGCACGTAGGTGTTTAAATTGATTTTATTACAGTTTTATTATATTAGGTTTATCCAGTTTTGGTCCTTTCCGGGAATCAAACAATCCACACAATTTCAACTCGTTTGGGAATCCATCTGACTTGCAGTCAAATAACCCTTTCACCCGAGAAAATCCACTTCCATTAACAAGACATCGTAATGGAGTTTTCACACCAGACAATTTTGGTGAAGGTTTTGTGGAAAATTTCATGTCCTCTGGAAGTGCAACAAATACAGCACCATCAATGTCTCAACCAATTCATAACGTTCAGCATGGACACTCTCTATTTGGAAGTCAGCAGGAGCAGTCATTAACTCAGGTTCAACAAAAACCTCATCATCCAGTTCTTCAAAGTCAACCAGGACCCCCAAACATTCAAAGTCAGTCTCATCATCCAGTTCTTCAAATACAAGGACCCCCAAACATTCAGTCTCATCATCCAGTTCTTCAAATACAACAAGGACCACCCAAAATTCAAGGTCAACTTCATCATCCACTTCTCCAAAGTCAACAAGGGCCCCCTAATTTTCAAGGTCAACCTCATCAACCAGTTCTTCATAATCAACCAGAACCCCCCAAAATTCAAGATCGACAAGATAACCACTTTATTCAAAGTAGACAGGATCACTCATTCTTTCATAATCAACAAGGGCATCCGATGATTAGAGGTCAGCATAGAAATCCTATCTTTAAAGACCATTTTGGTCACCCTGCTTTTCCTGGTCAGCAGGAACATTCGATGATTGAAGGTCAACAGGAACCTCAAAATAACCAAGGTCGTCAGGGAAATTTATTATTCCAAGGTGAACAAGATCATACAATAAATCAAAGACAGCCAATAATTCAAAATCTCCAAAGTCATCCAATAATTCAAAATCAGGGTAACCCTATAATCGATTCAGTTCAGGGACAACAGAGGAAGCAAAGTAAGACATCAGGGAGACATCAGACAGTTCAGGGTCAACAGGGTTTGCAAGGGCTTCGAAAACCACTGAGACATGAATTCGCAGGAAATCATCAAGGACACCAAACAGCACAGGGTAGTCAAGCTGCTGAGAGCCATTCTTTCAGCACTAGCAGTTTTGAGGGACCAGAACTGACACCAAGTGGTAATGCTCCGAGTTTCTTTGAGAAGTCATTTTCATCTGTAAAAACAGATCAAGTGAGAGAAAACAGACCAGGCCCCTTACTCACACCACCGTCATTCCAAAGGACCTTTAAACCACCATCAATAGGGAGGCCTATTTTCCCTAGAAATTTCATACTTCCCGAAAAATATCGGCTAAACGAAGCTCTTAACACTGATACAAACACTGTGTTGCGAACACAAAGTAAAATGAATCAACAACCATCAAATACTCAAAAATTGGCCAATGCTCCGGGTGCATTTCCACCCCAGGGGTTCCTTAAACTCGAAACGCCGAAACCACAAATACACAACAGTGGTACAAATACTCAAACATCGCAAAGTAATTCTTTTAGTTTCCAAGCAATAAATACTCCACCGTTTGGTGAGGTTGATTTTCATCCTAAAAGAGTAGAAAACCTAACAACATTTCATGGACCTGTGCAATTTAGGAACTGGGTACCTCAAAGAGTGGCTGATGCATTTGACAGCGAGGTAAAAAGAAGTTGATTAGACATATTCTGGAATTATCGTATCTCATAAGATTTGTCACTAGTTTCTGATTTGAATCTAAACTCCATTTAAACAAAAGATGGATCTTAAGTCAGGAATTTGAGTCTGCTCACTGTCGCACTTTAATTTTCTTTTAATGGTAAAGAAAATAAATCATCAATAGCAAACACATTATTTCCAACATCTATTGATTGTTTCACTTTTTTTAAATCAAAATTTAAACATAGAATTATCTGATATAAAATTCAACAAAGGCACATGCATGTAAGATTGATTTTTCAAGATAGTTACTTGCACTGAAGAGTATCAGAAACTTCCCAACCACACAATGTGTTTCGTGGATAACCCTTCTCTGAATATGTCCGGTGTATCAGAAGCAGAGAAATTGGAGATAGTGAGAATTCATAATCAGCTTCGAGGCAATGTATTACCAGAGGCCTCTGACATTCTTACAATGGTGAGTAATCATAGAATAAACCAAAATAACCAAGGATAAATAATTAATGAATATATTTTGTTCAATTTTACGAATCCATATTGTTTTGACAAGTTTCGTCCACTGCATACATATATGTTCAGTCCTTTGCCTTCAGAGATGGGACGATAGGCTGGCGATAGTGGCTCAGAAGTGGGCAAATCAATGTAGCAGGTACCATGATAAAATGAGAGCTGTGCCGTGTAAGTAAATTTACTACAGGAATTTATTACTATTTCTATTTCATTATATTATTTTCCCCTCTTTGATGACATGGATTCTTATTAAGGATTAGATATGAAATAATACTTCTTAGCTGAATGTATTTTAGTACATGTATTATTTTATCCTTGCATTGGATGAGATTTTTTTTTCTTTAAAGCATTAGGAAAACACACATTAATTGGGCAAAATTTGGCCGGAGGATATTCTAACTGGTCGACTGTGTTGGAAGAATGGTGGAATGAGAACCTTATTTGGCAATACGGCATTGATCCAAATACTTACATTCCAGAAACAATTGATGTGGCTGAAACGATTGGACACTTCATACAGGTCAACCTATTTCTATATTATGTTAAGATTCAGAGGAAGTTCATTTTTGCTTCCAAAAGGACATTTGACTAAGCCACTGACAGGTTTTGAAATTACTGTGGATACATGATCTACCACAATAGTAATATTTGACCATTCAAATAAGAGATGCAAATATATAAGGCAGGTCAATCAAATTTGAATTCGAAAATCTGATAACTAGCTAAACAACTCATTATCGGCAAATCTTTGCATGCTTATTTTCATACAATTTGTTTTAGAATACACACCACAAAAATTCAACTCCAAATTTTAACACAGAGATATGATCTCATTTTGTATTACGTTAAAACCCATCATATTAGGTTATAACTTATGAAAATTACATGAAATCACTTGATAAGAGAATTTTTCAAATTTTTATAGGAAAATATGATCAATTTGATGTTAAATTTGCTTAGTTTCTTCAGAAAAAGATCACAATATACTCCAAATTGAAATTTTCTTAAGATTTATATTGTATACATGCATTTTAATCTGTAAGAATATTTAGAATTATCTAAGATTAATAAATAAAAGCATAATCATATATCTATCATGGTTGACTGCATACATTTTGTACAACGGTCTCTTGAACATAAATGCCCCCATTTGGTAATATCAAGTTTTACAATCATTCTTTGCAAAACACTGAAAATACTAAAATTCAATAAAATAGGTACAGTTTTAAAGTCAAGAAAAATAGCACAAAAGGCAATTTTTATTAAAAAATTTGGTCACAAAGCTTAGGCACTTTGATATGGATGGACATGTCTCCCTCCTTTTCCTTTCATGGTATATTTTTATGTGTGTTTTAATTTTTGCCTGTCAAATTTAAGTCCCATACAAATTAAGTAAGAGGAGACAATAAGTTGCCTCTCTGTTGCACAGAACACAAGCAGAATTATCATTTAAATTACATAAAAGTACAGAAATACTTGCCGTGTTTACATTTTGATCCACTGATTTCCCTTCTTTTCTCAAGATTGTCAAGCCAATACAGATGTGCTACTTTGAAAAGGTGCTTTTTTGAACTAGTAATTCTTGTATAGTCAATTATTATATATAAAAATAGGTTTTTGAATACTTTGATCGAGGAAGTGATAAATGGAAGTTTATTGTCGGTGTATAAAATTAAAATGCGTAGAAATCTGGCCCTGCCTCAAGTAAAAGAAATTTGACATGCTTTTATTATTAACTGTGCGTATGAATTTACCTCTCTTCAAAAAAAGAAGGAACTCGTAAATTAGCACACCTTGTCAATGGCAATCTGCAAAGTTGTTTAGAAAACATTCTGATTCTACACACAAGTACTCCGAGGTTGATATGAAAAAAAGTTCAAGTTTCTCATTGACAATATCTATGTAGTTTTTGGTCTTTCAACAATCTATTTGAATTGCCATGGATACTTATTGTGCGCCTTTATTAGCAGACCTGTTTTTAATTCATGTGAAGCAGAATTTATTCAAAACCTTCTACATGAATAGAAGTTTCTTGCTGTGTCCTTTAATTTAACATTTAGATATCTCGACAATGTTTTATCAATTAACAATATTCATTTTCATTCGAACGTTGATTTGATATATTCTACTGAACTCGATAAAAGAGACCACCAAATCTCACATATCTGTTTCATATTTGAATGTTTTACAAGAAAAAGACATGGATGGAAAATTAACAACCCAACAAAACTTCATAATAAAACATGGCAACTTCAGCTTTTCTATCATCAGCTTCCTTTCAATATGTAGTAATCAAAAAGCACTGAACAAACAATTTGTTGTTTTAAGGCGGCATATAATGGTACCTACCTTGTTGGTTGTGGATATGCTGTATGTGACGAGAGCCGATACGAGAAATATTACGTCTGTAACTATGCTCCAGGGTACAGTGTCTATCTACTTTTACATTCGTGTAATGAAGGAAACATAATTGTGTCCCACTTTAAGCATATAAATTTTGCTTACTGGTCTTCTTTGGAAGTAGTTTTTTAAAATTTTTATTGATACATCATTAATATATTCTAAAGACTACGAAGCTTCACACACCCTTTCACAATAGGAAAAAGATGCGGAGCATGTCCTCATAGGTGCAGAGATGGAAAATGTGGTAAGATAAAAACTATAAACTCAGTTTAAAGAGTTAATGAATTTTTTAATTAATAATGTTCTCTTTGTTATATTATACCGGAATAACAGTTATAATATTGCAGAAAAATGCATAGCATCATGCTTTTTTTAATGATTGCAACATTTATAATACCTTGTATAAGATGACAGAGAAAAAAAAACCATTCGTTTTTCTTTATTTAGTATTCACATAAAGTGGTTGAAAGTGTGTAAAATATTCCATTACATTGATTGAAGAGCAATGAAATAATAAAACCTTTGAAACTTCTTACATATATGGAGTTACAGATGGTTTTAAAGACGGACTAGTTGATACTTGATTAAGATATGGTTTTCGTAGGCAATAATTCGGTGGCTGTAATAAATAGAAAATATTGAAGGTTCCAATTTGAACCATTTATTTTTCCTTTACAAATCAAAATACATTCCCGGTTTAAAATTCTATATTTTCATATATACTATATTCCCCCCCCCCCCCTTTTTTTTAAAAAAAAAAAAAAACTTTGTATCATGCACTAGTAGTGAAATTTGATGTTTAAAAACCAGGTACCAGGTACCAGGTTATAGTGAGATTGAAAGTAAGCTCAAGGTATGCTTTAAATTAAGAAAATATATTTATGATACAAGTTTTTTTTTTCTCCTCTTTTTTTTCTCTAATTTTTTTCTCTTGATCATTGTCAATAAATCATATTTCCCTTTCATATCATCATGATTAATTCAACACTTTCTTCGTTTCTTGACAGATTGCGGAGATAGAGTGTGCAATAATGGAGGAACACTAAATACAGAGACGTGTCAGTGCGAGTGTGGATCTTTATACGCAGGACCAAACTGTGATATCCGTACGTTTGTTTATTGCCTGATGCCACGAGCATCAAGCAGGTTAAGAATTAATTTAAACTAGTTATAATTGTAACGGGGACCGTTACAGATGTTCCCCAAACGCTCCCCAACTCCCTTTTGGTGTCTTATTTCCTGTAAGCTTCATTAAATAAGGCAATGAAGTATATTGATCGTTTTTTCAATTTCACGCGCGCGCACGTGCATGCATGTGCAGTATGACCATGTCATCCCGTCTATACTATTAATGTATCTTTATATTCTCAGTATCAAAACATTTCATCAAAAATATAAGTTCCGGCTATATCAAGTATACTGGTCATCTTAGCATTGCGCGCACGCGCACCTGCATGCATGTTCATAATGACCATGCCATCTTGTGTACACTTATAATATGTCTGTTTATTCATAGTATCAAAGCTTTTCATCGAAAAATATAAAAGTTACGGCTATATTAAGTATATTAATCATTTAACACATTGCACGCGCGCGCATGTGCATGATGTCCACATCATCTTGTCTACACTTGTAATATATCTGTATATTCTTAATATCAAAGCTTTTCATCAAAAAATATAAAAATTACGACTATATTAAATATATTGGTCATTTAACACATTGCATGCGCGCGCACGCGCAAGTTAAACTTAAAAAAAATCATGATGTAACTTTACACTCTTCAAAATGTACGACAATAAAATATTTCGCCCCCCCCCCTTCCCCCAAAGGAAACTTTATCACTTATCACTTTATCACTGCAAGGCACTTATCATGATCATGCGTTCTATGAATGTTGATCTCGCTTTAGTCAGGAAAGCTTTCGAAAAGCTATCTGTTCATTTTAATTTCTGAAGTTTAAAAAAGCTTAAATGTTCACTTAATCCGAGTTCACCTTTTTTTCTAAGTGCGGTGTCCATTTACCGACAATGCTGATTGTGGAGCGCGGTATCAGAAAGAACACTGTGTGGTTCTCCCTAACGCCAATCAGGAATGTCCTTACATGTGCGGACGCTGCGCTAGAGGACATGGTATGACAATAGTATTACTTTTTCGTCTCACTTTGTCACTGACTTTACACCAGTGTATGTTCAAGGATAATTTTGGAATGGATTTTTTTTTTAATTTCTGCGGGTTGAAAAATTAAATATTTTATTTTATACAACCATTAAATAAATATGTTTTTTCTGCAGTTCTCTGTGGCGGAAGGATATGCTACAATGGAGGATCACTCAAAGAAAACACGTGTCAATGCTCCTGTTCTCCTCCGTATACTGGCGATACATGCGAAGGTACACAACTCTTTGAAGCATGAAAAAGTACATGCTAGTATGCCTTTTAAATTCTAACAAAGAAAATTCACGTCAGAAATTTTACATTGATCGGTAAATGCACATTAGTTTCAACATACCTTTTGCTTTCACATTCTTGCATCGATGCGATATTTCACATTTGAGTGTTTAAAATGGAGAAAGAAAAATCGAATTTTACCAGCGGTTTATTGACAAAATGCTTTTGCTAGCAAAAAAGGAGAGAGAGAGAGAGAGAGAGAGAAATGATGAATCAGTGACAATAAATATTTGGCACTTTTTGAAATAAGAACTACCAGGGCAGCTTTTGTATTTACAAATCAAATTTGTTAAAATGTTTAATTACTTATATTAATTTTAGTCTATGCGATCAAACTATACTGAATATAAATGAAGTAATTTGTTCGTCTCTTTACATGGCTACTGATTTTGTTCATCTTGCAGTTAACTGTGGAGAAACGGATGATCCACACTGCTCTCGGTGGCCAGACGTTTTCTGTCACTGGAATCCACTTATCCAAAAACAATGTCCACATAGATGTAATATGTGCAATCAACAGTAGAATGTTTGACTGTAAAATAAATGTGGTCAAAGAGTTTCTAATTTAAATATGTAAAAAAAAATATATAACAAAAATATACAGAGTTAATTGCTTAATTAGTTCATGTTTTTCATTCATGTGCTCATTGTCACGACCGGGAAAATCCGTAGACAATTCAGGGTTTAATTAATAGTCTAAAAATTAGTATGAAAAACTTCAGTCAGCATTTGACTTAATGATAGATTTGTTTGTCTATAGCTTGCCTCGGTTTGGAAATTGTTTGTACGTAGAATATGCTCTTGTGTATCGAATCAACTGGGAGACATAAACTCCCTAGGCAGGCGATAATTGTATATTGCTACATAAATATGGGAATTTGACGATAGAGAAGTCATCACATTTATCATAAAGTTGGGTTGTTAGGTTACCATTAACTTCTTTTTCTAGTAAAATATCAAAATATATATGACAGATGTACAAGACTCCGTGGTATCTTTTATTTTAAGTTCACTGGATATATCGAGTCGACATATGAATGAAAGTAACTATTATTAATGGATAATACGACTGTCGATATATTTATGTGTCGAGTTGAAGGCCACAGTCGTCTTCATCTCAGGTATAAGTTTTTGTATAAGTTTTGCTTCATATGAATACAAAAATAGGTCTGCTAATAAAGGGGTGCAATTGGTACCAATGATATTTCCCACAGATTGTTTCAAAACCTGATCTCCAAAAACTACATAGATATTGCCAATCAGCAACTCAGACATCTTGTTAATATCTACTTCAGAATACCTGTGTGTAGAATCAGAATGTTTTTTAACAAAATAATTTTGTGGATGACAAATGACAAGGTAAATAATTTTTTTTGTAGAATCAAAGTGATTTTTAACAAAGTAATTGTGTAAAAGACCAATCACAAGATATGAAATTTTCCGGGTTCCATTTTTATTAAAAAGCAGTTGTCTATGATGTCAAAAAGCCTGGACTTAAATTTACCGTGGGAATGGTTGTATGTATGTTAAAATCACGCATTAAAAGATTGAGGGGCAATATGAGAACCATCTATCCTTCTGTATGCAATAATCCAGAAGTGAAAAAGGAATTAGATAGATTACATGATCAGTACGTACTGGTCCCTGCTGACAAAGCAGGTAACAACATTGTCTTTGTTTGTAAGGCTCGTTATATTAAATGTATTTTAGAGGAACTTGGATTTAATTCTACAAGTGGTAATCCAACTTATACTCGTAGTTCCCTTTCTAAGGAAGAAATTCTTCTAAATCATATGTCAGTTTTGAATATTTTGAATATTCGAAACAACCAAAATGAATTTGAATTACCATAGTTATATTGGATTCCGAAACTTCATAAAAATCCTTACAAACAAAGATATATAGCGGGTTCCAGTAAATGTTCAACCAAGCCCTCTTTCTTTACTCCTCACTAAGATATTAACAGTGGTGAAGGAGAAACTTCAAGAGTACTGTGCAACAATATATTCGAGAAGTGGTGTAAATCAGATGTGGATACTTAAAAATTCCAAGGAACTTTTGGAAAATTTGAAATCGCAAGATTTTACCAAAATCAACAGCGTAAAAACTTATGACTTTTCTACTTTATACACAACCATTCCCCACGATAAATTAAAGTCCAGGCTTTTTGATATAATTGACAGCTGCTTTTTCAATAAAAATGGAACTCATAAATATACTTACCTTGTCATTGGTCATTTGCAAAATTATTTTGTTAAAAAACATTCTGATTGTACACACAAGTACTCTGAAGTCGACATTAAAAAGATGCTTGAGTTTCTGATTGACAATATCTATGTGGTTTTTGGAAACAGGTCTTCCAACAATCTATTGGAATTCCCATGGGTACCAATTGCGCCCCGTTATTAGCAGACCTTTTTTTGTATTCATATGAAGCAGAATTTGTCCAAAATCTTGTACGTGAAAAGAAGAAAACACTTGCTGTGGCCTTCAACTCGACATTTAGATATATCGACGATGTATTGTCAATTAACAATGGCTATTTTCATTCGTATGTCGATACGATATATCCTGGTGAGCTTGAGATAAAAGATACCACAGAGTCTGACACATCTGTTTCATACTTGGATATTTTACTTGAAAAAGACCTTAATGGTAATCTAACAACCAAGCTTTATGATAAACGTGATGACTTTAACTTTTCCATCGTCACCTTCCCTTACTTATGCAGCAATATACCTTCATCACCTGCATACGGGGTATATATCTCTCAGTTGATTCGATACGCAAGAGCATGCTCTACGTATGAACAATTTCTAAAACGAGGTAAATTATTGACAAACAAGTTGATGAAACAAGAATATCAGCTGTCTCGTTTAAAGTCATCATTTCGTAAGTTTTATGGTCGATACAATGACCTTGTCAGCAAATACAATTTATCATTGAGTCAAATGCTGACTGATGTTTTTCATACTAATTGTTAGCCATTATTTACACACTGAATTGTCGACGGATTTTTCCGTTATTTCCCGATCATGACAAGGAGTACACGGCGGGTGTGACCGGTCGGCAGGGGATGCTCACTCCTCCATGGCACCTGATCCCACCTCTGATGTTTAGAGGTCCGTGTTTGCTCTGCTCCTATTTTGTATTGTTTAATGGACTTTTGAGTTTGAATACTGTTCGTTATCTCCATATATTTCATTGTATAAAGTGTTGAAAAGTCGTACGTTGTGATGTTATTGATTTTGGTAAAATCTTGTGATTTCAAATTTTCTAAAAGTTTCTTAGAGTTTTTCAAGTATCCAAATCTGATTTACACCAAGTTTTTTCTTCACTGCTGATAATATTTTATTGAGGAGTAAAGAAAGAGGCTTGGTAGAACATTTACTGGATACATCTTTGTATGGATTTTTATGAAGTTTAGGAATCCAGTATAGGTATGGTAATTCAAATTCATTTTGATTGTTTGGAATAATTAAAATATTGAAAACTGACATATGAATTTGAGGCATTTCCTCCTTAGAAGAGGTATCTACGTGTATAAGTTGGATAACCATTTGCAGAATTAAATCCTAGTTCCTCTAAAATACAATTAAAATAATGAGCCTTACAAACAAAGACAATGTTCTTACCTGCTTTATTGGAAAAACCTTCAGAAACCCAACAATTTGGGAAATCAATATAAAATTAAACTGTCACTAATAATTCCACAACCGATTAGTAAACATGTATTAAACATGTATTTAAACAATAATGATATTATTTGTATTCTTTTTGCAAATAAAGAATGGACGCAGGGACGGGTCACAAAAATGGGACTAAGCACATTAATTGTGGCCTTTTAGAACTCCATCCTGTAATGTAGCTTTTGAAAACTAAAACTACTATAGAGGTATCATAATATAACGGAAATATGCAGAATTTGTTAAAAAGAAGTTTGTAAATATTTGTGAAAAAATATATCATTATATAATTTTTACAATATTTTATATATCTAATACATACATACTTTATTCCATTTTTATACGCTGAAATTCATTTCTCTTTAATACTCTTAGAGATAGTCTACTCATTATTGTTACGGCATTATAGATACCAGGGGTAAATATTTTTTAAAGGAACTGTACATGAAAACTATTGATGTTTTTCTCATAAAATATTACAAATAATTGTGGTATATATTTTCATCTGGAAAAATATTCACTTCAGAACTAGACATAGATGTCTGAGTTATCCTTCTTTGTAGATGTATCTCTTATTGGCGTAGATTTTGCTTCAGAATTCACGAATGTTTACTACTTGTAACTCTGACATTTGTTTTTGTAAAAATTAAGTCCATATACAAGTAAACTTGTATGTGATAAATAACGTCAAAAGATTAAAATATTCAAAGCGCATTTGATAAAAAGAATTAAAATATACTTTTATTAACATATTAGATATGTATTATTGATATATACATCATGTAATCATGCAGTGTAGATACATCTATATAAGAAAACGGAGGTACACATGGAAGGACACACTATTCTGGATCTTATAACGCAAAATTTGTATATGACAACCTATAGGTAAAGAAAGGTCTCACACCAAATGATTTTTTTTTTAGATGTGTGTGTCTCTCTAAATTTAACATTCATGCAAGTAAGGATAGAGAATAAATTTGAGTTTGATTTTGTATTTTTGGAATGGACCTGCTCCAAAAATTTTAATTTTATAATCCAGAAAATATGTCAGATGCAGTATCCCAAGCATGTCTGGTAGATTTCATCCTTACAAGGTTATTTACTGAACTTTAGTTCAGGTAGAAGTTATAAGTTTGTTTCACTTTGAGAATGGACCTGCACCAAAAACTTTAATCTGGTCACTCATCTCGATTATGCAGGTGAGAAGCAGGGTCCGAAACAAGTCTGGTGTGTTCATCCCTAGCTGTATCATCAATTTACTGAGAAGTTTAGGTAAGACTTATAGTCACTGGGAATAGATTAACTCCTAAGACTGTAACTAAAGTGACGACGACTGTTGTATATCATAAGCTCATATCGACTATAATTAGGAAGCAAGGAGCACATAATTTGAAACATACACTGTAAGATGCAAAAAAGCAGCATCTAAATCTACCAAGTTTTCTTAGTGATTTTTTTAATTCTGCTTCTCTACAATTATTATCACGTGAGTTTGTCTTATCTTAGTACTAATATTAATAGAGCATGTCAGTATCCATTTACGTCGCTTTCCAACGGAAGAACCTGATTGGCATGTACTAGATTATTGTCTTATTAACCTACTTTTTAACCCCTTAATATCAAAATATTACTTATTTTTAAAACTAAACGTCACAGTCATGACTTTTAAGATCAGTCTGAGACTTAAATTATCAATTAATCACTTTAAATTTTGCTGTCTAGGCCTATAGTTGAAAGATTATTATACTATGCTGAATTTTTTGATCATTACCATACACCGAAGCTATATGATTTACTGAAAAGTAAACACTAAAATGACACTCTGGAGTTAAAATTAAATATGTATATATTTAATTAATTAACTTAGCCTCTAAACGAGATTTTTAAAAAAAAAAAACATGAAAGTTGAATTAAGGTCAAATCATTATC